AGCTTTTTGTTTTATTGGATTGGTTGGTTATTATAACTGATATCGAACATGCTAAAATATTTTTCTCCGAGAGTGGTATATATTATTATCTTTACAATTTATTTTAATTTCGGAATATAATTTTGAGTTTCGGTTTTTTTTCGAAATCGAAATGGTTTCATTTCGGATAACAAGTATAATTGTCTTGTTTTTAAATTTGTCCGGTATATTTAATATATTCTTTATTACTAGCATATAACCTTCCAAAAGCTGAAATTCCCGACCACCATCCGACAAGTAAATTTTTTGGAAAAGGGGTGTCTATGGCGAATGGAAATGTAAATAATCAAATAATAATATATTAATTAAAATTCGAATTAATGGATAATATAAGATAAGGTTAAATAATAATAGTAATAATAATAAATTGAATTTTTAAAGCGTTGGGCGCAACAACGAAAGATAGCAACACCAGCATTTAATCGAGCTCTTCGTCCTGAGATGGTTGGAGATTGTACCAAGGATTTTATAACCTTATTAGACAAATGGACCGATACTCCAATGAATGTATTTTTATTAATGCAACGCGTTACTATTCAAATTTTAGGAAAATTAGCTTTCGCATATGATATGAAAGTGAGTATCCTTTTTAATTATTTAATATATACAATATACAGTAATTTGAAATCGAAATTAATTTAAAAAAAATTTTTTTTACTTTATTTTAAACAAAAGGCATTGGATAACTGGGAAGAAGAACCATACTTTTTAACAACATATCGCAAAATTATTCGTCATATTTCAAATCCAATTATTTCAATCTTTCCATTTTTTGAACTCACTTCCAATTAAAAAAAATAGGGAAATTTCGTCATTAATTAAAGAATTTGATAATTTTTTATTTAAAATGATTGAACAAAGAAAACTTGATATGTCTAAAACCGAAAATAATAATAATAATAATAATAATAATGAAAATACTGATTTATTAGCTGGAATTTTAGAATCTGCTGCACAACAAGATTATAAATGTATTAATAAAGAACTTAGAGATGATATAGTTATTTATTTTGTTGCCGGACATGATAGTAAGTATAATTTATTAATATGTATTATATAAATAAATAAATATCGTGATCTAATATAATCTTTATATTTTTATATAGCTTCTTCACTTTCATTGAGCACTGTTTTTTATTATTTAGCAAAATATCCTGTAAATTTACATTTTATTTAATTCAACTTTATTTGATAAAAATGTAAATATTAATTTATATATATATATTATTTTTTTTTAGGATATTCAAAAAAAAGCTAGAGAGGAAGCAATTAATGTTTTAGGAAGTTCTTCTAAATTACCCACGTCAGATAACCTTAGGGTACTGTATTTCTCGATTTAAAGATTTTTTTTTTACCTATCAAATTCCAATAATTATTAATAATATAATCAAATACTATTCTTAAATATAGGACTTAAAATATATAACAGCGATAATTATGGAAGCACTTCGTCTTTATCCACCTGCAACAATAATATTTTCTCGTTCACCTATTAAACCATTAAATTTATCAAGAAATATTACTATACCAGAAGGAACAAAACTTACAGTAGGTCTATGGCAAATTCAAAGAAATCCAGATGTTTGGGAAAATGTTGATGAGTTTATACCTGAAAGATTTATGAATCCTGATAAAGAAATAAAAAGTAATTGGGTTGCATTTTCTAGCGGGCCCAGAAATTGGTAATAAAAAATTTTTTTTCGTTATCAGATATACTGTATATTTAATATATTTTATAATATATCTCATAATATATCTCGATTTTTTTTTATTTTTATAGTATTGGTCAAAATTTTTCAATGATGGAACAAAAAATTATTATTGCAATGACATGTAAGTTTATTAATTTTTTAAGCATATAATAATAATAATAATAATAATAATAATAATAATAATAAAATATTTTATATATTTTATATATTTTATATCGTAGTACTTAATTTTGAAGTAAGCTTACCTCCGAATATGAAACGCCTTGATAAAATCTCATTGACTTCATCTTTCATGCTATATCCTAAAGAATTGAATGTTGTATTTTCAAAGTTGAAGTAGAGTATCAGAAAATATAGTACTGTATACGTAACAGTTACACTGTATCATTACGGATATTCCAATGCTTCTAGATATGTTGTACGCTAGAATTGTAAGGTTTTTCCTACATTAAAAATTATTTTTCCGTAAATTTGGTATAGATTATCATAATGTCAATTTATGCATTTATTTGGTCCTTCGATCAACAATTAAAAATATTTTGATTACAAAAACAACATTATTATTCTGTTTGGTGACATTATTTCTTTTTTAGTTAAAAAAAAGAACAAAAAAAATCCAAGAGTGTTGTGTGATGTTTAATACTTACTCGGAAAATAGAATAATTTTTTATTTTATTTTGCACAACATAAAATGAATTTTTAATTTATTTATGTATGTACTGTACAGTACATAACGATAAGTATAAAAATGAATTTTTAATTCACCATGCGTATCGCGTATCATCCGTTATGAACTTTATATACTTTATTTTGGGCCTTGTTCATTACACAACTAAGTTAATCCTATCAGTCAATACACATATAATCCATATTAGTACCTGATAATAAAGTAACAAAAATGTTCGTTGTAATCCTGTTCACTAAAAATATGCATATTTTATTTTTTTTGTGTATAATAAATAATTACTAAACCTTTTTAATATTATTATATAAATTACTTAACTAATTACGATATGTATAATGCAAAATTTTAATTATAAGGACATATAAATATTTTTTTTCGGTTCTTTTTTTGAAAAAAAAACAAGCCCAAAACCTCGGTTTATTTGTCTTTACTGTATATTATATTTATTATCTCGGTTTATTTTTGTCTTTATATTTATTATCTCGGTTTATTTATATTTATTTATCGTTACATTTACTTTTTTTTTTTTAAAAAAAAAAAAAAAAAAACCATATTGTTCTTTTCAAACAAAAAAAAAAATATTTACGGCAAAAAATTTATTCACATTAAATAAGGTAATTCAGTAAAAAAAAAAGAAAATCCTTGAAATATATATATCGATATGCTTTACCAAATATATTTTTTTTAGTGTAATGTGAAACCGAAAATTCCATAGTTTTAAAAATTCCATGAAATCAGAAAATCGTTCTTATTGGGCGTGATTGTTAACAAAGCAAATTAAATAATCATATTAATTACTTTAAAAGTAATAAAACAAATTATACGGTAAACATATCAAATATATATTTACATCTTTTTTTAGTTTAGTTTAAAAAAAAAAAAAAAAAGATTAAAATTTCCTTTGGTAGAAAATTCTGTTAATTTCAAAATTATCAAAATACTTTTTAAATCACATTTTAAGGGTTAGTTATAATAAAGAAATTTCATTATTAAAATTCACATGATAAATAACTAAAACTTGAACATGGGTGGCTGCCGACTTTTTTTTTTCTGTAAAAGAAAAAAAAAACCGGATTTGGTTGTTACGAACCAAATAAGTAAATCTTAATAATAATCTTTACTGGTGCTTACATACGCAAGCAAGTACGTAGGTACTTACAGTACATACTTATTTATGTACAGTACCCAACATTCATATACTATACATAGAAGAAAGTATATATATTTTAATAAAATCACCAATAATAAACATAACGGAGAGTCCGCGTATTGCAAAAAAAAATCAAGTATCTTTTTCATAAAGTTTTAAATATATATATATATATGCTGTAAGTCATCGCGTCACAATTATCACTAAAATATCATCTGCATTGATCGTCGTTTAACTCCCCTTACGCCCGGTTTTCATTAATTTTTTTTTTGTGTGTGACAAAAAAAAAAATGTACATAAATATGCAACATCCTCACCTATTTTTTTTTTTTCTTTTTGAAAATTTTCGAAAAAAAAAATTTTAATATCAATAATATATCTGATATATCCAGTATATATATATATATATAATATTTAGAATAAAATTTAAAAGAATCAAATAATTTTTTTATTAAACAAAAAAAAAAAAAACCATGTTCAAGAATGAACTATGCATGTTAAATTGTAATGATGATTCAAATGAAATAAGTAGTGATGATGATGAATCAATTACAAGTAATGATGATGAAGAATCAAATATTAATATTAGTAATTTAAAAGTTAATAAATGCTACGAAAAGAAGAAGAAGAAGAAGAAGAAAAATTCAGGAATTACAAATGAAGAAAGAAAAACATTTAAAAAATATTTAAAATCAGCTAAATCTGGAAATACTGATGGTCAAAATAATCTTGGATGGTGTTATGAAAATGGTGTAGGTATTACCAAAAATAAAAAGAAAGCTTTTAATTGGTATTTAAAATCTGCTTTAGGTGATAATCCTTGTGGTCAATCTAATATTGGTAGATATTATGAAAAGGGTATTTACGTAACTAAAGATGTTATTAAAGCTTTTAATTGGTATTTAAAATCTGCTGAAAATGGTAATTCTAATAGACAATGTAGTATTGGTTATTATTATGAAAAAGGTATTTACGTTACTAAAGATGAAAAGAAAGCTTTTCAATGGTATTTAAAATCTGTTGAAAATGGTAATTTATTAGGTCAAAATAATCTTGGTTGGTGTTATGAAAATGGTATCGGTGTAGATAAAGATGAAAAGAAAGCTTTTGAATGGTATTTACAATCTGCTGAAGGTGGTAATTCCGTTGGACAATGTAATCTTGGTTATTATTATGAAAAGGGTAAACACGTTACTAAAGATGAAAAAAAAGCTTTTGAATGGTATAAAAAATCTGCTGATGGTGGTAATTCTAAAGGAAAGTGTAATCTTGGTCGTTGTTATAAAAAGGGTATAGGCATTACTATTGATGAAGAGAAAGCTTTCTATTGGTTTTCAAAATCGATAGATGATAATCCTACTACAATTTAATTTTCTTGCATTTCTTTTAAAAAATTTCATTTTGACATAATATTTCATAATATTCCGTAATATTCCATAACTTTTCATAATATTCCGTAATATTCCATAACTTTCCATAATTTTCCATAATTTTTCATAATTTTCACATTTTTAAAATTTAAAATTCAAAAATCTTTTTCATATATTTCTTGTAAATCGAAAAATAAAATTTAATCCATCATGTACATTTTTATGCTAAATTAATTAGCCAATTAATTATCTAATTAATTAATTAATTAATTAATTAATTAATTAATATACTGAAATTACGTTATAAACTATATAGAATTTGTCTTAATAAAATTTAGGTTATCGTATGCAACACTGCATTTTAACTATATCATAGATTTTGATAAAAATTTGTCATCGTTAAATGAATTGGATAAACAGTAGCAATTGAATGCTTTGCGGCAATCATATTTTATCATTTATTCACCAACTTCTAACTTATTTTGGATCTTAGAGCTGGGCATTAAATTTTACATCAAGATGCTATAAAATAATTTTTCATCTGTTTTATTTGAAATTTAGCAGGCACGGGACATTTCCCATGTGATGATCTTCATAGAAATTATTTTTGAGATAGAACAACATACAAAGTATAAATACCAACCCTAACTTTTAAAAAATAATATTTCCGACTTTAAACAAATTTATTTGTTGTGTCGTGCGCTTTATTTCTATGTTAAAATCTCGCTGGTCGGTTAAATTTACACGAATTTAATCATACTTGAAAAACGGTATTTTGAAATATAAAAGTTAAGATCTTCCTTTAGTTACTTTATTTTTTATAAGGTAGAAAATAAAGCACGCTTAAAACGATCTTATTGGTACAGAAGAGCTTTATTTGTGGCTTTTGGACATTTCTTAGAAGCAACTATTTATTAGAGTAAGATAGTAAATTTAAATTCGCATTTATTTAATCTTTTTATTAACAAAGAGTAGCTTTTTTTTATTAAATAACTTTACTAAAGTGGGTCCATATTGAAAAGAAATAATACGAATCTGTAGGCAGTGATTAGAGGTATTAATATAATTTCAAAGATGAAAAACACAAAAAACAGACTAACAAAATTTGTATTTGGGTTTTAAAAAAATGTTTGAGTGATAATTTGTTTTAAGCCTTGTTTCTAGAAAAATTTTAACAGTTAACTATTAAGCATAATTTAATTAATTGGAATCATATAAGAGTAGACAATTTTATTAATAAAACCTTTTGGTTAAGAGAATACTTTTTGTTAGCAAGTTGAGA